CCGAAAACAAGCCCCAAAATAACCCCCCTGGAACAGCCCCCGCGGGAATAACCTCGAAACAACCTACCAGAAACAGCCCCCGCAGGGAGCAGCCCCAAAAACTCTCCTGAAAACAGTCCCTCCCGCAGGGAGAACCTCCCCAAACCAGCCCCCTCCCTCCAGGAACAAGCCCTGAAACACCCTCCCTGAGGCAGCCCTCCCGAAAACAGCCCCCCCATAGGCAAACCTCCTCAAAACAGCCCCGCCAGCAACAGCCCGAAAATACCCTCCCCAGGAAAAAGCCCCGAAACAGCTGCCCAGGCTGAGATTACTGCGAATTTTTATTAAATTTTGCTTCCCTGCCCCGCCTGTGTGGGGCTCGGCAGCCGTCAGTTAATAAAGGCAAAGCTTTCGCTTCCACCGACCAGGGTGGGGGGGTCCCGGCGGAGGAGGCTCGCTCCCACGCGGGTGCTGAAAGAGTTGGGGTCACCCTGGGAAAGTCATCTGCTCCTCCACTGCCAGCATCATTCGGGAAATTTCTCACCCGCAGGCGGGCAAGCGTCATCGGGCGCCTGGACTTTGCCTGGCATTTCGGACATTTTTCCTTGGGAAATTCTACGGTGATGTGGGGTAGAATCGTTTTATTGCCATATTCTCAATAGAAAATTAATTATTATCGTTACTATTAATATTTTTTTTTTAGAAAATAGGTTATCCACTGCAGATTCAGAGAAGAATCAAAGTCGCCTGACAGCCGGGGAGACCCCCCCGCTGCCTCAGTGATTTAAGACACAAGGTAGCACCCGTCACACCTTAAAATGTAAACCCTGCTAGTCCTCTCCGAGCTTTTAGGCTTTGTAGCTCAGCTCAGCATTCATCTTCGTGTACATCTCATAAATCGCATCCAGGATGGGGGTGACCCTCGAGAGGAACTGATGAATTTTCTCGAGGCTTTCCTCCTCTTTTACTTCTTTGCCCTTCTCTAACGCCTTCAGCAAATCTGATCGGTATGGAAGAGCATAGACCGAGCCCTAGAAAACAGAGGGAAGAAGCTATAAGGCTCCCACAGACACAAAATCCTCCCCATTCCACGTGCAGGACCTCTGTTTGGGTTGTTGAGGGGTGACTCCGAGCGCATGGAGATCCCAGGTGGGGTCTCCGCGCACTCGGAGCTGCCTGGGAGCAGC